CAACCTTTCCCTACCATGTTACCAAACCAAATTCTACCCTATCATAACTATGTCTATTGCTTCACATAATTCATCAAACTAATACATTTCCCCACTACATTACCTAACCAAACTCTACTCTGTCGTAGCTATTTCTATCGTTTCCCATAATTTACCAAACTATAACGTCTCTCCCTCCATGACAGGCAACAATCATGGTTTCAGTGACAAATTTCTGCAAGAACTTCTGAATTAACGGAAGAAAATCTTCAGAACTTATTCAATTCTGTAGGCAATTGGTGCATTTCAGTATGATATAAGTGACATTATTATCACTGCAAACTTACCGAACTACTCCGAAAGCTGGCATAGAATCCATATCAAATAATAATAAATTCACTAACCAACAGTACAAACCAAATAATCCACCAATAAAAACTATGCACCTTCCAAGCTGTTGCCCTCAATCCTCCTCCATCAGGAAGCCCCATACTAGCAATCCTCCTTAGCTTTTCCAAATTTATCTCCTTTTGAGAAAGCTAGCCACAAAACAAAATGGAAAGATGAATAATCCATTAGCAAGCAAGAAAACAAATGTAGCTTGGCCTAAAATAAAAGATGGCTGAAACAACAAAACCCTAATAAGATATTCTTGTCAAAATAAAAATATGAATTTTTATACATCAAATATAGGTGACAATCACAAACCACACATACATTTCTTTCCTTTTCCCATCATTTTCTCAGCACCAAACACTCCCCAGAAGCCTACCCCTGACCATAAACCTTCTGCTACGACCCAAAAGAATTCTCCCAAAAACTCAACATCAACCCTAAAACCCACATTATAAACTACAAGAAGAAGAAAAACAAGAAAAGAACATTTCACATTCTGACCTCGTATTCAACATCAGACCTTTTCTCATCAGCTGCAATGACCTCCATAACCGAAACCTGACCCGAACCATCTTTATCGGGTTTCTTTCGGGTCCTAAAAGCATCTTCGTTATCCACATCCGTATCATTAACCAAATCATCAAATTCATACACATTTTCTTTGTGGCCTAACTCGATCCCATTAGGCTCCATGATCTCAAGCTCCTCGCCGGACTCGAGAACCGGGTCGGACCCTCCATTTTTCATTTCTTTGTCATCAAAACCAGAGACCAAACCACCGAGCTTGTCAGGGAGCTTGAGCTTGCCATTTTTAAGCATGGCAATTGAGTTGGGACTGAGTCAGGGGAGGTGTATCGAGCGAGATGGTTTTGTGGGTCTTTGTTGGTGTTGCAATGGAATGATTTTAGAGGAGTGAGAAGAGAAAAGAGAGTATCTTGATGGGTCATGACTGGGTGATTAACTCGGTGATTAACTCAGTTTTTCTCTTTAGAAGAAGACTGGTAGATGGAACAGTTGATTTTGGGGGTTGAGTTTCTTTAGCCAATGGGAACTTGCCGCGTCGAGTATAACTTATTAAGCTGTAGCTTTATGTTATCCGGTGGAGAAAATTATTTTTTTTGACAAAAAAGGCAGATTAAATTATTTATTTATTTATTTAGTTCTATTTATTAATGTTTCATAACAAAAGAGATAAATATAGAAGTGATTAGTTAGAGTAAAAGAGAAAAAATTATAAAATTAATATATTTTTAAATTAAATTTATAATTTTTCAAAATAAAAATAATAAGAAAATATATTATTTATATCTCCGTTTTTTAATTTTCGCTAGTAAACGATATTTTATATAAAAATTAAGGGAAAAATTGTAATGAATTAAAAAGAATTTAAGAATTAGGAATCAGTTTCTATTGAATATTATTGGTGGATTTGCGGGCTTCATCCACCCAAAAATTGCTGAGTTGGGCCTACATTAAAAATGGTATCCAATGAATTAGCGACAAGGTTCATATATATACTAGTTACATTACTCGTGATGTTACGAATTAATTTTTTATATAAAAAATATTAAAAAAAAGTTAAGATCTAAAAGTATTAGATATTTTTGTAAAATTATATTCAAGAGTCTTAGGTTTGACTACACCGTTTAATCTAAAAGTAATATTTATAATAGCATTAAACTTGAAAGACCCAAGTTTAAATGAGTCTGACTGTAATACCAAATCCAGTAGTTTTTGATATGAGTCTGGCTGTAAAGTTATGTCATAAAAGTGTGATACTTAAATAAATTAATTAAAAAAACAAAGAAAAAAAACTAATAAAGAAAAAGAAAAAAAAATTAAATCAACTGGGTTAACCCGTCAAACCTGAAATCTATGCCATGAAGTCTGATAACTAAACAGCAAAAAAAATAATATCAACAAAATAAATAAATAAAATTAATTAAAAAGAAAAAAAAAAGTATCAACCTTTTCACTGTGGACTGTACTGTGTAGTTCACAGTGAAAGACCTAAAAAAAGAAGAAAAAAACTAAAGGCATCAGTTTTTTCACCATATACTGCATACAACATTAAAAGATGAAATCGAAAGAACAAAACTAATGAGAAAAAGGAAAAACAATCTGAATCAACTGAGTTAACCCGTCAAACCTGGGATCCGTGTCATGAAAGTCTAATAATTAAACAAAAAAAATTAATATTAATAAATTAAATTAAAAGAATAATTACAAAAGAAGAAAAGGATAAAAAAAAAATAAAGACATCAGCTTTTTCACCGTGGATTGCACTGTGCAGTTCACAATAAAAGGCTTGAAAAAAAAACAAAAAAAAACAAAGGCATACGCTACGGGTTATTTTTTTCTTGCATAAAAAATATTAAAAAAGACTAAGATCTAAAAGTGTTAAATCTTTCTACAACGATATACTCAAGAGCCTTTGATTTAGCTGCAACACTTGACCCAAGAGTAATATTTATAATAATAGTAAACTTACATGACTCAAGTTTAAGTGAGTTTGGTTGCAACACCAGACCCAAAAGTCTTAGATGTGGGTCTAGCTGCAAGGTCGTGTCATAAAAGTATGATAATTAAATAAATTAATTAAAAAGAAAAAAATCAACGGGAGGAAAAAACTATTGAAGAAAAAAAAATCTGAATTAACTGGGTTAACCCTTCAAATCAGGTTAACTGGTCAAATCTTAGATTTGTGTCATAAAAGTTTGATAATTAAATAGAAAAAAAATTTTGATGGGTTAACCTGTCAAGCTCAAGATATGTGTCATGAAAGTCTGATAATTAAATAAAAACAAATTTAACATTAACAAACTAAACTAAATGAAAAAAATCAATTAAAAAGCAAAAAAAAACAATTTCGGGATTCATCAAACCAGATTAACCCATCAAACTCGGGATCAATATTATGAAAGTCTGATAATTAAATAAAAAAATTATCATTAACAAACTAAATTAAACAAAAAAATTCATTAAAAAAACACAAAGAAAAAAGAAAAAAAAACCCATAAAAGCATAAAAGGAAAGTCAGCAAATGCTGTGTCGGGACATGGTACTAAACGCCTAGAACAACCCGTCCTTCGCTAAATTTGTTTTCTTCCTCTATTCCTCCATTTAGCAGCAACGACAGAAGAGGAGGGGACAGGGAAAGTCAGCAAATGCTGTGTCGGGACATGGTACTAAACGCCTCTATCAGAGCTGTTTTCAGTTCTGTGTCGGGACATGGTACTAAACGCCTAGAACAACCCGTCCTTCGCTAAATTTGTTTTCTTCCTCTATTCCTCCATTTAGCAGCAACGACAGAAGAGGAGGAGACAAGGAAAGTCAGCAAATGCTGTGTCGGGACATGGTACTAAACGCCTCTATCAGAGCTGTTTTCAGTTCTTTGGCACCAAATGTATAACATTATGGATTTTGGGTAATTCATATAAAAACCTTGAATTGCAGACCATTTTGTATTGATATGTAAAGACCTTCGATTGTAGACCATTTTGGGTAATTAGATGTGTGCCCATGTTGCTTTTTGTCCATTAAAATTATTAAATAACAATATTTGGGAATGATAACATATTTTGTTACAAAACTATCCAAAAATAAAAATTATTGAAAACCTGAAATGCTCTAACCTATTGGATATTACCTCAATTTTTTAAAATTAGTTTTTTTTAAGGACTTAAATTAAAATTTTCAAGAGTTTCGAGGGTATGCTATGTATCTTCTACTTACGTCATTGCAATTAGTGAGCAATTTCAAGATTTTAGCAGCTCAAGACATGATTGTGACCATCACATCATCACGGGTCTTGTGCATGGTCATGTATGATAAATTAGTATTTTATGAATTAATTAATCTTGATTAAGTTTTTTTTTTTTTTTTGAGATGAACTTGTTGCTGTTGGAAGATCTTTTTCATTGGAAGATTTTAACTTGTATCTCTTTTACGAATTCAAAGGAGACTTTCAGATCTTATGACGATTATTATCACTAAAACATAACCTATTTCATATAGTAATCTTCATGTTCATCTTCTTACCTATGAGTTTATTAACAGGACTTCTCTTTAGGCTACAATATCTTATGTTCTACATATTATCTGAGGATCTTCTTTGTTTTTTTT